TGAAATAAGTTACATCTTTTCTGAACATGCTTACACCTTTTATGGAAATTTGAATTATATTTTCCTAAAATTTAAACCTTCAATGGGAAGTTACACCATTGCGACATAACTTTCATGTTTTGTGAAAACTACATACATGTTTTTGAAAATATACACCTTGCATGGAAGGAGTATTTGAATAAAATTTATACCTTTTGTTAAAAACATAAACCTTTTCTGAATGATTACACCTTTTTGTGGGAATGCTTACACTGTTTCTGAATGGTTACTGCTTTTGTGAATAACTTTTTTCATAAAATTTACACTTTTTATGGGATATTACAACTTTTCTGCTAGTAAAACTTACACCTTTTTAAAAAATTTACACCTTCTATGGAAAATATGTTTTCAGCAAGTTTACACCTTATTTTAAAAGCTTACACCTCTTCTAAAAAGGTACTCCTTTTGTGAAGCAAACATGTTTAAAAAATTTTACACCTTTTAAATAGGAGTTACATCTTTGGTGAAGACAGTTAGACCTTTTTTGCAAATTTACACGTTTTATGGAAAATAAGCTTTTGATAAAGTTTGTTAAAAGAAATTGTTTGACAGAAGGTATAACCTTTTCAAATATGGTGTATGTTTGTCCGAAGAAGGTGTAAATGACCATAGAAAAGATGTAAGTTTTGTTTTTCACTAAAGGTGTAACTTGAAATAATAAGTGTAAATTTTATGAAAAAGGTTTTTCCACAAAATGTGTAATTTTTCAAGAAGTTGTAAATATTTCCGAGAGAAGGTGTAAATTTTTAGGAAAGGTGTAAAATTTAGGAATAGTTGTAAACTTTGTGAGTTTTTACAAAAGGTATAAGTTCCCAAAGAAGACCAATCATCGAAGCTGAATGTTTCGTTTTTACAAAAGATATAAGTTCCCAAAGAAGACCAATCCCAATAAAGCTGAATGTTTCGTTTTTAGAAAAGACCCAAGGTGTAACTTTTATTAAGAAAATTAATGTAAAGATATAAGTTCCAAGGTGTAACTTTTATGAAGAAAATTAATTTATAAATGATGTCAATTTTCATTAAAAGGTGTAAGTTGTCAGAACAAGTATAAAATTTTCAAAAATGCTGAAGTGTTCAGAAGAGGTGTAAGTTCCGTCGGCCCGTCCGTCTCTCTTCCATCTCGGACCTCTCTCTTTGTTTGTCTTTCTCTCTGCCCGTCTCTCCGTTGTTCCATTTCCCCGTAGCTGTAGGGTTTTACAGAGAAAAATATTTGAGGGCCGAGCTTAAGCTCTTGGGAAGGCTAGCCATGGAAGTGGATGCATAAATACTTTTTTTAAGTTGATTTTTGTCGGTGGAGCACAACCGCAAGGGTTAATCGAGCACCACCGTCGGTTCGTCTGATCCGGTTGGTTTTTCCTTTATTTCGTGCTGGTACATTAGCTGTCTCCTTGTTTGTCTTCTATCATTCGCATATACCTTCACACCCAACCCGAAATCGACCCAATAGGAACTGTTCTGTACTCCATTTTCGTATTTTGTGCTATTCGAATAGGAACTCTTCCCTCTGCTAACCGAAATGGACCCAATAGGAACTGTTCTGTACTCGATTTTTGTATTTTCTCCCTATCGAATAGGAAGTCTTCCCTCTGCTATCAGTGCTGCAAGTTGAACATAGGTATCATAGTAGTTAGCAACAAGCATAAAAGGTGTTCTGCATTTATATGGTGAACTTCTTAGGTTGGGTTATATATAACGAAAGAAGACTTTAAAAAAAATTTGTGTAATGTTGGCACGAGAAAAACAAATTTTTTTTTTTTCGAGTAGCCAAAAAAGCAAAAATAAGAAACTCGATAAACAAACAATGACTAATCTTGTTTCCGCACCAGGTAGCACAGTCGATTGAATTCTGCTTTCAATTTTGTAGTACTCGGTGATTTTATATTGCCGGAACTTATGTTTAGAAACAATCTGTGGTACACGGACTCTTCAAAATAGATCATATACCTGTGTCGGACACCTGAGAGTCGGACAAGGGTGTGGGATATGTGTCGGATATTTTTCAACGGGAACTTCTTATATAATTGTATATAACACAATTATTATATGTGCAAATTATAGTGAAATTACTATAAATGTGATTTTGACATTGTGAGTTACATATAGTACCATTTTATGTCACATATTAGATTAAAAATATGATATTTTTTCCCCACACCGCGTACCATTGAATGTAGGGTTAAGATTTAATGAGTCGGACTTGTACATACATACCGCACCTGGCACCCGTACCCGAGTCCGTGTAACACAGTAAACAACTCTTTCTTTCAGTGCTGAAGTTCATGCATAGTTGACGGTATTCAACTTAAAACATAGGAAAGCCAATTGAAAGAGTTGAAATGAGGATGACGATTTCCAAATTTTGTAGAGAGCTATTCGTTCCCACACCCAATTCTGAATCAAGAGTTGAAGCGTTCACTTTCATGGCTAGCCTTTCCAACAACTTAAACGGCCGGAGACGATGGCTGAAAACCAATACCTTCTCCCCACCTGAGTCGGACAACCCTAACAGATTAAGGAAGAAGTTTGCCTTCAGTCCTTCTCTAATATCCAACTTTTCTAAGATGTGGTCCATCCAGGCATCGTCAATGCCCTCTATTCTTGTGGTTGACGTGTCTGTAGGTGAACTCTTTAGGAGGGATCTCAACTGTGTGTGCACATGCAGTGTGCTCCCATCCCAGGTGATGTTCAACTACTTAACGAAGTAGTTCAGTTCTTCAACTTCACGAACTGTCGTAAGGGTGAGGTGAAGAAATTCAGAAAAGTCAACAAGCCCAGGCAATTCGCGAAGAAAATCTCATTTGTAGAAATGGACAACCTTGCCTGTTATTGCACGCAACTTTTGAATGACGGTTACCTTTCTCTTGAAGTTATCATCTTGCACATATATACAGTAGTTACATTTGAAGAGGAAGGTAGCTGTCATTCATGAGTTGCGGGCTGTCTGGACTTTATTGAGCGAGTTCATGAAATGCGTACTCTCATAAGTCTTCCCTCTGCTATCAGTGCTGCAAGTTGAACATAGGTATGATAGTAGTTAGCAACAAGCATAAAAGGTGTTCTGCATTTACATGGCGAACTTGTTATGTTGGGTTATATATAACGAAAGAAGACTTTAAAAGAAATTTGTGTAATGTTGGCACGGGAAAAACAAATTTTTTTTTTCTTTTCGAGTAGCCAAAAAAGCAAAAATAAGAAACTCGATAAACGAACAATGACTAATCTTGTTTCCGCAACAGGTAGCACACTCGGTTGAATTGTGCTTTAAATTTTGTTGTACTCGGTGATTTTATATTGCCGGAACTTATGTTTAGAAACAATCTGTGGTACACGGACTCTTCAAAATAGATCAAATACCTGTGTCGGACACCTGAGAGTCGGACAAGGGTATGGGATATGTGTCGGATACTTTTCAACGGACACTTCTTATATAATTGTATAAAACACAATTATTATATGTGCAAATTATTGTGAAATTACTATAAATGTGATTTTGACACCGTGAGTTACATATAGTACCATTTTATGGCACATATTAGATTAAAAATATGATATTTTTTCCCCACACCGTGTACCATTGAATGTAGGGTTAAGATATAATGAGTCGGACCTGTACATGCATACCGCACCTGGGACCCGTACCCGAGTCCGTGTAACACAGTAAACAACTCTTTCTTTCAGTGCTGAAGTTCATGCATAGTTGACGGTATTCAACTTAAAACATAGGAAAGCCAATTGAAAGAGTTGAAATGAGGATGACGATTTCCAAATTTTGTAGAGAGCTATTCGTTCCCACACCCAATTCTGAATCAAGAGTTGAAGCATTCACTTTCATGGCTAGCCTTTCCAACAACTTAAGTGGCCGGAGACGATGGCTGAAAACCAATACCTTCTCCCCACCTGAGTCGGATAACCCTAACAGATTAAGGAAGAAGTTTGCCTTCAGTCCTTGTCTAATATCCAACTTTTCTAAGATGTGGTCCATCCGGGCATCGTCAATGCCCTCTGTTTCTGTGGTTGACGTGTCTGTGTTGAAGAACTGAACAACGTAGTTAAGAAGTTGAACATCACCTGGGATGGGAGCACACTGTATGTGCACGCACAGTTGAGATCCCTCCTATAGAGTTCACCTACAGACACGTCAACCACAGAAACATAGGGCATTGACGATGCCCGGATGGACCACTTCTTAGAAAAGTTGGATATTAGAGAAGGACTGAAGGCAAACTTCTTCCTTAATCTGTTAGGCTTATCCGAGTCAGGTGGGGAGAAGGTATTGGTTTTCAGCCATCGTCTCCGGCCGCTTAAGTTGTTGGAAAGGCCAACCATCAAGTTAAGGGCTTCAATTTCCTTGCTTGTTCCATTGTGACATACAATTGATGAAACTTGCTTGTACGCCCGGAAAAGTATTCTTCTCTGATCTGCCCACTGTCTGACCACCCGAAGGTAATGGAGCATGGGCCAGGATGCAGCCACCTCGATTCTCTACAACTAAGTTGCTCAGTAGGAAATTGAAGCCCTCAACTTGATGGATGGGGTTTCATCTGGTTTTTGTGCCTGGGATGAGCACCAATTTCTCTGACAGCAGAATCGTGTCCTGATTGTTTAAACCCGTCATGAAATAATTCAGTTGCTTCTTTGTCGTTTGTAGTCAGACCTTCATAAAAGTATGTGCGTGTAGTCCTTCAGCCCTAAATAAAAAACATAATGTAGTCCTTCCTCTTCAATATTTGGGAAATTATGCATTTATCGCTTGTACACATAATTATTTTAATTGTAAGCTGTGTGAACAAAATGCAAAATTTTGTTGTGTGTCCTTTCTTTTGTCTGTTTCAAAATCTATATATGTGTTGGGAAATTCTGCGTGTTGTTGTCTGTGTTTACGCAAAATTTTGAGGTTAACAGCCACATGTTGCAGCCGTTTGTTTGTGTTCTTGTAAATATTGATTGGAATACTTTGCAGGAGTTGTCATCATTGCATCTGATGGATATTGGTCACCTCGCACCAACAATGTTAGTTTTCTCCTTAAAGACTTGCTACCAGTTGGTTTCGTACATATCTTTGTAAACAAACGAAATCCATCACCAAGGAATACGCTGATTTTTTTCCGGATCAATTCTTACAGCAGCCCGTGTACTTTTGTGTTTGTGTTATTTGTTTTTTACAAATTTTGAATGGCCTCGCTTTGCAGCATCAATTTTGAACTTTTGTTTCAATTACGTCCTTTTGATTATAACTCTTCACTGTTTTGTATCAGAAAATATGCATATACGTGGCAACTATACTTTTTGTTGTAGTCAACTTATAACTTTACTGAACTTACATAATCTCAATCAATTGACATTACAATCTTTGTTTTAAAAATCACAAACGGCATTAGTAATTTGACCGAAAATGTCCACGAAATTTGAAATGGACTGTCACAATTTAGGTAGTTTAAAGTGCATTGATCCAAATTAGACAACGGACAAAATGTGTACACCACCCCTGTAATTTTCCCTTCAATCTAATTTGTATGATTCGCTCTTTCATAAGGGGAAGGAAAAGATTGAAGACAATTGCCGAACAACATATCCAAATGTCTGACACTATCGCTGGCTCTTGTCGAAAGCGGCCAGTTGCACCATTCATTTGTTACAGGTACTAGTTGTTTATTTTGACAATCTGGAATTACATTTTTCGTACTGAAATTACGCGCCTCGTCGAAGTTCAGTTTGTGATGTTTCAAATTGGTTTTGTTCCGCATGTTTGAAAATGTTTAAATTGGTGTCGATTCAGTCCCGGATATACGAAAGCTGTCTTATGCCGATTTTGGGGCCAGCTTGACATAAAAGCTTGCATATATATATATATATATATATGTATTCATATTTAACATTTAGTGATGATAAGCTTCACGATGCTTGCATGCAGCCAGCAACAATTCAAGGAAATGCAAGGGCAGACAACACTCGACGAAAAATGGTGAGTGTCGAAATCTATATTCTCTATAATACACTATGATGGAAACACATCGCTGGGTTGCTATCCACACGTTGTATTGAATGGTCCTAGTGTGCTTCTGATTGTTTCGCGTTTGTAGGATTGTAGCATGTAATAATGTCACCTTCCTATTGTTTTGTAAATTTCAGTTCGTTGTAAAAGTCCAGCTACGTTTTGTCGCTGACTTTTTGCTGCAACTGTTATTTGTATTTGCAATCTTATTTAATTACCAACAATGCACACGGATTGCGTTTGGCATAAAGTTGTAGTTACAGTAATTTCGGACTCATAGTTGTTACTTGTCTTGTACGTCTGTCATTTTCTTGGTTAAAGACTAGAAAGGAGATTGGGGAAAGGTGGAAGGCACTCCCCTCTGATGAGAAAAAGAGGTTTGTCGAAATGGCTAAGGCGAGCGCTGAGGAACACGCCAAAGTAGTACCATGTGCACCGAAGTCTGAAAAGGTCATTACGTACTTCATGTTTTCGTAAATGCATTTGCCTAGGTCCTGCTTTGCTGACATTGTTGGTTGTATTTTTTTATTAATTTAAGGGTAAAAAATGTGCAGGGTAAAAGGCAACTCCGCATATCATTGAAGTCAATTGTTGAGCTAGTTAACCGGTTCAACGAAGCACAAAAGCAGGCAGTCATTGACATTGGGTTTGCTGGCCTCCTGGGGATGAAGTGTACACGTATAGATCACGACTTGTGCGCATGGTTGGTATATAACTTCGATCCTGACAGTAGTTCATTGAATGTTCATGGTTGTCAAGTCAGGCTCACGTGTAAGGCAGTTAATGTTTTATTGGGAATACGGTGTGAAGGCGATGACGTGCAGTTGGCTGGGTCATTGGAAGCATATCCCAATATCTACGATGAGGTTGGAGTTGTTAACGGAGTCATTCCTTTGAACAAGTTGAGACTTTATCTGACCGAGACTGCTGGTGCGGAGGACGAGTTTCGGCGGAAATTTGCGCTGTACGTGTTGGGGGCCATGTTGTGTCCTACCACAATGACCGGGTTGAAGCCATCGTTCATTCATGCCGTGAAGGACGTGAATCGTATGCGAGCTTGTAATTGGGCAAAGTTGACACTGCAATTCCTTCACAACGGTGTTCGCAAGTATAAAGGTCATCGCGGTGCAACTGGATGTGTTTTCCTGCTAATGGTATGCCAATACCTTGAATTTTTTTTCCATTCCCCCCTTCATGTGTTTCATGCATTGTTCTGTCATGGTTCAACAAATTGGCCTTGATTGGGACATACAATGGTACCTGCTTTGTGAGTACGACAAACAGCACTCTTCCTGACCAAGTATGGTACTTGCAGAAATAAATTTTGTGTGACTACCGTCATGAATTTAAGAACAAAGAGTACAGGGCAAAAAGTATGCCGAACCTCAATGGAGGAACTAATTAAAACTACGTTGCGAAGAGGGGAACATGTACATAAATTTTTTTTCTTGGTTTCATCAATAAAGTCCTTGGTGTGCTGTACATTTTTTCCCCAAAAAACATTGCATGATATGTGCCTATAAAGTTGACAGCATCCTCAACAAAATCGGTATGCTATGTACGTTCCACTGCAAAATTGAGAATAATGAATGTCATTGTTACTGAATATAGTTCATTTTTGTGGGAAGAACAACTTAATTATGGTGTGCCCCTTAATGTCCACAGATGTTGTACCTTGATTGTGTTTGTCTGAGCTCGACTACGACGCGGTCCACACCTCGGCTTCATGATTGGGGTGATACCCAAATACGGGAGACGCTGCGACGTATCGGAAGGAAGCAAAATTTCCCAACAATTGCGGTAAGCACTCCTACCACTGTGCACATTTCACACCATCGACCCACTTGTCTTCAACATACAATGTCAGACTTCATTTATGCGTTTCTATGATTAGGTGGAGTTTGATTACAGTAACGCCGATGATGCTGACATGGATGCATGCCATGTCGAGAACCAACAAACAGGACAGTACAATGAAGTCCGTATAAGCAATTTGGAGTCCGACATTCGCGAACTGAAGGAAATGATGAAGCAAGTTCTCCACAACCAAACAGATTTAATGGAGATGTTGCGACATTTTGAAGGCAAGCAAGTTTTTGGCAATGACAAGGTAATCCATCCAAGCATTACGCAATTTTCACACAGTTGAGCCACATCATTTGAAGATGGTTTGTAAGGCTAAGTTCACGAATGTGTATGTATGATTAGGTGGAAGGCAATGATGTGTGTATCATTAACCTCTCCTCCAATGTTGCTCAACTGAAGAAAATGCTGAAGCAACTGCTTCAACGTTTCAGTTTGGGCTGCAACGAACCGTTCACTGAACAAACCAATTTACGTGAATTGAAGCAAATGCTACACCACCTCATCAAAGGTATATTCTCTACACCGCAACCGGCAAGCATGGCCAAACAGGGTGTGGACCCTGCTGTTGGAGTCGAGGCACATGACGATGGCGTGGTCAAACCATCTGACGAAGTTAACCCAATGGAGTGTAATATTTCAGATGTACAAGGGGTGGATCACCAACAACATATTTTGAAGGGAACCTTGGCAAGGGACAAAAGTCATTTGCATGATGGGCACAAGCTGAACATCGAAGAAGGTGGCGACAACAACAAGAAGGAAGGCCTTCAGTCAGGGGAAACATATGAAACTGAAGATAAATACAGTCCTGACCTTCAGTCAGTGGGCGTGAAGAACGTGGCGTGCGATGTGCATACTTCTCCTACTAAGCTTGGCAAACCATTGGGAGCAACTGGAATCATTAGAGGAAGTGCAAAGGGAAGAGGAAGAGGAAAAGGAAAAGGAAAAGTGCGCGGAAGTGGAGTTCAAGCCACTGAGGTCGGGGATATGCAATTGTGCATCGATAGCAAAACAAATAGTGGAGTTGACGACAGCAGTTCACCTGTGGATGTTGATGGTGTGGACAACGTGAACAAGGTACAAATACTGCCTTTAATGCCCCACAAGTTGTGAATACCCAATTCATGCCCACATCAATAATGTGAATCAGTAATTTTACAATCATCTGTGTTGTATTGTACTAGTTGTCAAAGAATTGCATGTTTGCAGTTATGACTGCTGCCATATGTTAGTACACATTTCTAACAAACTCCGCACCAAACATCACAAGTTGGGAAAACTCTGAGGCTCACAGTTTTTACATCATTTCACATTTTTTTTTATGACTACAGACCTTGTAATATAAGCTTCAATACTTTTATGAAATGTGTACTGTTAGTTGGCTGTTTATTTTTGTAGGACTCGTTGACGATGTTGGACAGCGAAGGGTTGTTATCAGCGGAGGAACAAAAACTTCTTCACTATGTATTTGACGATAGCAAAAATGAAATGTATTGTTTCATTTACTACTTGCAAATTTTCAATGACAGTCCACTGTGAAATAACTATCGTTCTAAGGATCATTTATTGCTTGTAGGGACATTGTTGTTTCCATGAATCTTCATGGACGGACATGTGAAGTTGGTACCCGGCATAACATGCGCACGTTCAAACCAGGGTCGTGGCTATCCGTCACTGTAAGTGTTGGCTGCGCACATATGAATCTGCGTTTTTCAGTACCCCTAACTCAGAAACCTTTCTAATCAACTTGCCTTATGTCTTGCATACAATGTTCCAGCCAATCAACTTGGTGATGGTGCAATTGACTAATCGACAGAGGGATTTACACAATGACGGGAGGCACACTGATTGGTTCTTTCCCATATATCTGTCGGTAAGTAAGTGTTTAAAGCTACGTTGTGTATTGTGTATGACATATTTTGACAAATGTTTCCGTCAATGACCTTTACGCATTACACATGCAGACTATGATTCTAAATAAAGATATGCAACCTCTGGACCATGAACATATCGTCACATCATTTTTCGAACATGACAGATACACTGGTGCGATTGATGCATGCCAGAGGATAATATCAATGTTCATCCCGTTATATTAAAACAAAAATATGAAAGCCATTACATGTTTACATGGCCTCTAAACAAGGTCTGCCGTTGTGTTTACGTGTAGATTTACATGCCTTTCAATTACAGAGGAGTGCATTGGTTGTGCGTTAAAATTGATATGGTGGACCGTGTAGCCTACCTATTCGACTCAGTCCCATCCAACCGACCGAACAAAAGGAAGCTAAATGCAGCTAAAATTTTGGTATGTCCTTCTGGTGCATTTCTGAACACTACAAAAAACTTGAACATCCTTTACGTAAACCAACTTCAACCTTGTGGAACAGGTTGAAACTATGCACGACTTGCTGCAACTACACTTTGGAAATGATTATGTTACAGACGTGCGTACCTTCCACCGCTGCATGTTAGACGAGAGGCCAGTACAACAACTGGACGAGTAATCCACAATCCCTCCCTCACATTAATGTCTAAGCTGCATGACTGACTTAATGAACCTATTACGTATTGACGACAACTTTAATGTGAAATTATTTTTGTAGCACGTTTGACTGTGGGATGTTCGTCATCAAATTCATGCAGCAACCTGATTTAAGCCCCGGTCCACACAAGGTACATTCTACCGCTTAATTTCCATTTGTCAATCAAATCCTTCCTCGTACGTCCTCCAATTTTAACTGATTTGTCTTACGATTTTTGTGGACAAAGTTCGCTCCCTCTGTGCGTCATAAGTTGTTGGTTGACATCGTTATGGATGTCAATAATGCAAAGATCGCAGAGTACCGGGACTGCCTTCATATGAGCAATGCCACAAGCTAGGCCAGTGATGGGAATGGGCTGCCAGTACGCCACTAATTTGGGTGGCAATAGGACTTTAACTAATTTTTTATTCTTTGATTTCAATATCGATGTTAATTATGGCTCCCCAGTATTGTTTTTGCTGGAAGATGTAAATATGGACCAACTGTAAACATGGATCAAACATGTCGATGTAAACATGGATCAAACATGTCGACGTGGCTGCTGACTTAGTACTGTTTTGTTTACGCATGTTTCTTGTTCGGATGAATGCGACTGTAACTGTATATAATTTACGGCTGCTTTTGTTACCGAAGTTAATTTATAATTTAATTACAAAAAAGGGAAAATTAATTTTCAAAAATGAAAGAAACCACATTATGAATGAAAACTCAATACTCTTCGTAGGTAAGTTATATATCAGCCCATTAGCACATATGACTCCAGCCAAAAAAAAACTTTCATGGCTTACAGGGAAGGATAAAAAAAAAGTAAATCAAATCTACATATCTGCTGCATCATCAGCAGCGTCTTCTGAAGAGTTGTCCGTACTGTCTGACTGACTGTCCTCATCCATTGTCTTATCAGACTTCGCTTCGTCCGCCGCCAATTTGTCATCGGTCAGCCAATCAACGTTCTGCTTGATAGCGCCGACTTGCCGCTCCAAACTTGACAACCGTGTGTCCACTTCATTCAGCCTTTCGTAGATAGCTTGCAACTGCTGGAATACAGGAGCAACATGAGCTTCAACAATAGCTTCAATCTTGTTCGAATCGGACATTTTGTAGGAATATGTGTATGGTTTATTTTACTGACTACTTTTTTAAAGGAATGTACAGATTCATAATATTACACAACACTATGCTGTAAGTATTTGTAATATATGGTACATGACTTGTATGTTTGCAGAAGACCTCATGCATTGTGACATACATCGTATTAATTTCTCAAACTGGCCGAATTCATCTTGCAAAAATTCGTTCCTTCTTGCATGCACCAAGTCATCCGTTCAGTACCCCTGATCGTCCATTATTTGGCATTTCTAACACACATGCATTGTACCTTCCATCAGTACTATCCCACTGTCATTGATTTCCACACCCACAGTTCATCATACAGTCACATTCGTCATTTGTATTTGTGCCCCAAGCCAATTACATGTCTACTCATCCATAAAGGTTAGCAAAATTGCTCTTATCAGATACATATGCCGTTCCAATTGCACCGAACCTTTAAATGCAATACCCGCAGTCATTAAGTTGCTTTTACGCAGTTTGGGTAGTTGTTGCCACCAAACAACAATAAGTGTGTTCACGTCTTTAAACCTACCACCAACGTATTAATGACTATGGGTTGAAGGTAATTTAACATTTACTACCAACCACAAAAAAGTTTGCAACCAGTGTTGTTTCCTTTGCATTTGGGTTTGTTTTTGCGTCCATATATTCTTCGTGAACCTGCGAAAACAAAGTTGGACTCAATCAAGAACCTTCACACCTATGGATGCACACCACGGTAAACGTGGTCGTGGACAATCACTTGTAACGGCTGGCAGCTCCCGACCGAAGTCACCAGAATTGGATTATGCAGGTGGGTATATCGATTCCTTCGGTGATCGACGTTTCTTTGAAACAGGGTTCCCACTGTGGAGTTTTGAACCTCTACGGGATTACAACTGCACCCCAATACAAGATGCTTGCCTGGGGAAGTATTTTGGGATTCCAGTTTCACTGTTTGCCAAACTAGTTCAGTGTGAACACCACTGTCGATGTGCTTTTTTGAAGGTCACAAAAGCCCGATCGGTTGAAATGCAGCGGCAATTCCCTCATGTCAGCGAGTCCCAACTTAGGCATCGTTTGCAAAGTGAGGTTGATCAAATGACTCGTTGACTCATTAGGAACTCACGGATAGAGGACGCAAAGGCAGAGTCGAAGATACATAGATCGAACCCAGTATCTGTGATCAAGGCTATAATAGAGGATCCTACACTGGTGTCGGACCCTGACCTTTCAAATTACTCAGACTCCGAGGTTGTTGATTTGAGCGAGGATTAGCAGACCTAGACATGTGTATGACATAGTAAGCGTAGTCTTGTAAGATGGCATCGTCGCGCGAAAATAAGCGATTTAGAAACTAACAAACCGTCATACTCTACTAACCATTGCAACGGTGCATGCGTTAATGTCTTCATCATGTCCACTTTGTAGAAGGTATTTTTTTGGGTCACCGTCCTCGACTAAAAGCTGTCTTATGATTTTTGTTGCTACGATGACAAGGTAATTTTTTTGTAATGTCAATGACCGATATCAGAAACTATCATTAACCTATGTTTTGTTGATTACTTCATGTTTGTGAATCGTTCAATATGGACAATAAGGTTTAAGTGTCGGAATCATTGACTGGAATCACAAGCTGTAATTGCAAACAAAAATTGTGCACAACCAGCCAACGGTCTCATACACTCTTAACATCAATACGGGCACAAAATGTTTTGTTTTTTCAAACACAATGGTTGTGTGGAAGCATACCCCATGGGGTCAACCTGTGCATTAGCAATTTTTCTCCCATTGTGCATTGTTATGAACTAATCAGCTCCCCTTCAAACAAAAAAATATACAATAGACCATGCAGAAACAGAGTATTGATATTCATTAATGAAGAAGTCAGCACGATGGTGAAGAAATGTACCACGCATTCTATAGCTGCTTTCAACTTGCTAACAGATAATAGTTGAGGCCACAGATAAGTGGCAAACAGATACTATTTGACAGATAACAGATTTGCCAAATCTGTTAATTACAAACAAACCTGCAACACATAACAGAAGTTGTTCATTACAACCAAAATTCATGCACCCAGATAAGAGAACCTGCAACAGATAACAGGTCACAGATAAGTGACAATGCACCGAAAAAATTCAGTCATCCACAAAGCATCCACAAAATTCATCCACATACCATCCACAAAAATGAATCCACATACCATCCACAAAATTCGTCCACAGATGTGCCAAATAGCATCCACAAAGCTCTTACAATGACACCAACGTTTCCCAAAATTCATTATAGAATAACATTATAAGTTACATCATAATAACTTATAAAATTCATTCCGTACATTCATTCCATAATAAAATTCATTCCACAAAGCTATTAAGTAAGTTACATAAGTTACATCATAATAAAATTCATTCCATAAACATTACTTACATAATGAAGTACAATACAACAAAAACTGGTACAAACTTCCATTCAATTTCCCAAAATACAAACAAGTACGAAAGTTACATGATCAAGTACAAAATGATAGAAGGGATGTGCTACATCCCCCGAATTTGGGGGCCCCTAATCCCCCGAAAAATCAGAAAAAGGCAAAAAAAAAAACATGCCCAAAACGACGTCGCTTTGGGCATTAGGGGGATGAGGGGGGTCCTTTTTAGGGGGACAAATCATTTCTCAATGATAGAAAATAGCAAAATGATTTGTCCCCCTAAAAATGCCCCCCCTAATCCCCCTAATGCCCAAAGCAACGTCGTTTTGGGCAAATTTTTTTTTTTTTTGAAAGCTTTGAATTCGAAGACTTGGGATTAGGGGGCCAAAAATTAGGGGCATGTAGCAAGGCCCTAGAAAATATAATGAAATACACCATCGCTTTGATTATATTTTCTATCCTTTCAAGCCTTCGACCATGGTCATTTCCCAAGTCATGAAGCCTCGTCCTTACATCGTTGAAGTGTTCTACTGTTAAAGCATCACCAGCTCTAGTGTTGGAAGGGATTGTGGACATAACGCCTTCATCATCTTCAGCCACGAACTTGAAGTAATTGCAATGGGGAGTGGGAGTGGTACTCCACAATGCATGACAATCAGTTAGTTGAATACGACAAATATTACTGTGACTACTAAAGGATTAAAATTTCCAATACATACTTACATATTTTGATGGGCAAACAAAGCACAAACACCCTTTATTTCCATTCTTATTGTTCTGACAATACGTATGGCAGCGGTTCTTCCACAATTGCACAGCCTCGTTTGTAATCTTATGTTGCTAATGTTAGAAGAAGAAGCCATTTTTTAAATCTGCATACATGAGAAATTTGTAGTGCTCTGCTATGCTTCTGTTTGATGGGGTTTATAGCAGGTCTAGTTTAATTTGAGGGACAGAGTGTGTCCTTACTGAAAACATCTATTTGTTCAAACTACCATGTTTAATAGCATTTGCACAGAGGTTACACAGACTAAACTGTTAATAGCATTTGAACAAACATCGCAGCTCAATGTACACACATAGCATTTTGAAACTGAACAAATACAGCAGTTTCAAACATAACATTTGTGATTAATTACACACATGTTAGACACATAGCATTTTCAATCTGAACAAACATGGCAGTTTTACAAACATATCAGTTCAATGTCAAGTAAATTATCAATCACACATGTTAAACAACTATTATCAACAAATCATACTGAAGTGAAATGATTAGGGACAGATTGTTGGAGACTGTGATTCAGTAGTTATCAAACTGAAATAGTTATCAACAAATGCCACATGTGATTTTCAACAAAGCACACTGAAATACTTATTAACAAATCAGTAATAGTTATGAACATTTAAGTTCAGTTTGATAATAGTTATCAATGTTGATAATAGTTAATTCAAGGCACGCAGCTAACACATTAGTTGATAGCAGTTCATTACAACAATTCATGCGTGATTGACAACAAATTCAGCAAAATCACATTATCAATCACACATTGAAAATTACACAACTATATGCATTAGTTCAACTAATTATCAACCTGCATAATCATACTATGTTCTGCAAAGATGTGATCCTTTCATTTTATGTTGGATCAGTTTCTGCGTATTCATACTACGTTCTGCAAAATTTATACTTTAACAGGTAAATGCATAAATGTTCGTCACAATATGTGCCACATTTTTCAAGCATACCATTTATCTATCTGCATAACAGTAATTTTCAAATATATTTTGTGAATCACAACCCTAACTTTTTTATTTCAGCGTTTGGAGGACGAACCTGGTTCATCTATGGCCTGAAAGCCCACGTTATCGTCAAAAAATTCCTTCTCTACAGTCGATGGTGGTCGCGGTCGAGCTATGGTTCGCGAAGCAGAGAAAATGAGGGCTACAGCGGTGGGTTGGGTTTACGAGTGGGTGGCCGTCGAAAATGATTTTAGAAATTTTTTCAGAAAAATGTCAAACCAAACAATTTTTGGAAATTTTTTTTTGGTAAAACTCATCTGTAAAACTCAAACCAAACATACCCAGTATGTTTGGGACGAATTTTTGGGTTTTTACGAAAATATGTGCAAAAAATAGAGAGAAAATAAAATCATTCAATTTTGGTATGAGTTGTTGCTTTTTATAAATTAGCAGTGATTTAGACCCCCTCGAACTTCAACCCCAACCACCTCTCACACACACGTGACGGGTGGTGATTATAAGAGAAGAAAAAAAAGAAAAAAGAAAAATAAAAAGTGACCAATCAAAAAAGAAAGGGGGTCAAAGGGGGTGGGGCGAAAGGGGTCAGGAGCCTCTCCTTGCAGGCTTCTCCTTGCGCCCGTCCTTGTAGGGCCTTCGGGCCTACTTTTAGGCCCAATTTTGATAATCCGAACCGTTCATATTTTATGATTTATTCAGTATATCATACCTATAAAAAATCAAGTTGATCGAATATCAGAAAGCATATGTTCGGAAAACTGTTTATTAAATTCGTTAAAAAAATAGTTTTTAGTTTAATTTTTCAAGCACATACTTTCTGATATCCGATCAACTTGATTTTTTACAAGTATGATATACTGAATAAATCATAAAATATGAATGGTTCGGATTATCAAAATTGGGCCTAAAAGTAGGCCCGAAGGCCCTGCAAGGACGGGCGCAAAAAGGAGCCTGCTAGG